GTATTTTAGTCATCAAAAAGGGACAACGTTGCCCTCATTAACCTACTGTAGTGCCCTTATTAGTTATTACAAAATGTATCTAATATGTCGAAACAGTGAAGGTGCAATTGTTGACCACATTATTGCACTTTCCTGCATAGGTAATTTTCACCTAAATCAATAATTGTAATAAAACTATTCGAACTGAGAGGTTCTTTACCTACTTGATACGTTTACAGGTATCACATTACACTGTATCTCTCACCGTTGCGATGATCTAGGTGAGCCACGAATTTGAACCACACTGTACATTAGGCACAAAGCAGAGCTGGGCAGAATACTTTCAAAAAGTTTTTGAATACTAAATCGTAAATACTTTACACAAATCAAAGGTATTTGAATACTAAATACTTTTACGTTCAGCACAAGCGAATACTAGATACAGATACATTGAAAAGTATTCGAATACAGTAAAAAGTATTCAAATACTTGTCACTCAAATACATTAAAAATTTAATTAGTATACTAGATAAAAGGCTTAATACTACTTAAACAAGTTGTAAATCAGCATATGCATGATTAAAGCGCATTTTTGGTAATGCAGGTCAGTATTTTATTAGCGAAGTTTAAAATTATCGATCTCACGAGTAATTTTGGCTGCGTTAAATAATTAATTTTATTTAATTTCAATTGACGGTACGTCTTCATTTTGTAAAACAAATCACAAAGTAAATAATAAGTTTTTATACTGGTAGCGCTATCTAACGGTAAAATTATAGCACCTCCGAAACCCATATCGAAATTATTTTCTTCAATTATCGATCTCACAAGTAATCTAACTCAAAATAGACTAGTGCCTGCACATCTACACTATAGCAGGAAGCTTTTAGTGAAAATTTGAAATCTCTAGCTATTGTAGTTGTGGAGATCTCACGCGGACAGCCGGCCTGCCAGCAATAACGAATATAATAGCGTATTTTTTTCAAAAATGCGCTATAAATCAAGTTATACTTTGTATGGGGTTAGTTTTTTTTTATATTTCTATTGTTATATACAAATTTAAAGGGAGTAAAAGCGTATTATGATTATTATTATTATATAGGAGGTACCTACCAGGACCTTCCTTATACCAGTTACATCCTTAAGAATACGTGTACCAGTTTTCAAAGCGATCGTACGTCGTGCACATGATACGTACGCCTTTCTGAAATTAATCCTAGCGATTTTGGAACAGATCCATTTTTGACCATCCGTTTGTCCGTGTGCATTAACTTGTTTAAAACGTGCGATCGCTTTGAAAATTGGTACACATGGTTTTAAGGATATAAGAAAGGTCCCTATTGTTTTTAAGTTACGTAGACTATCGAGTTCGGTATTCAGATGTATCGGATTTTTATATTTGATTTTGTGACAATGGAAACTTTCCCTAAACATTTCTAAATTGTTCTCAAATATTTGAATAACTTAAAAGTATTGCCTTTTTTTAAGGCCGGAAAAAAATTTGTCTGAGATCGAGATCGATCGAGAGTCCATAATTTCAAACAGTTTGAAGATTGGGCTACTAGATCAAAAGTTACAGCCCTTTGAACTTTCTTTCGAAATTGGTTTCTAGTCTATAACTTTTGATTGAAAAATCTAATCGAAAAAGTACGAATTGTTTTGGATTCTACGCACCAAAATTAATAACAAAAAGTGTTTTCCCGAGAAATTTTGGTGTAGTCGATTTTTGGTAAAAAAGGAAGGTTAATTACTGCCTTTTTTTGAGGTCCGCAAAAAAAATTGTCTCAGATCGACCCGGAAAAAAAATTTTCTTATAGAATGTGGCCCGTAGAATGCATAATTTCAAACAGTTCCAAGATTGGGCTACTATTTCAAAAGTGAACTTTCTTTCGAAATTGGTCTCTAGTCTATAACTATTGATTGAAAAATCTAATCGAAAAAGTACGAATTGTTTTGGATTCTACGCACCAAAATTTTCTGGTTAAGTATTCGAATACTTTACGAAGTACCCAAATACTTTGCGAAGTATTCGAATACTAAATATTTGTGAAAGTATTTGAGTTACAAAAACAAATACTGCTTCCATAAAAGTATTTAATTACAAAGTATTTGAATACTAAAAAGTATTTACAAAATCGAATACTGCCCAGCTCTGGCACAAATGATGTCATACTGTGAAAAAGGTATCTTATATATGAGTTTTTAGCGGTGTGACGTCATACACCTGTTTTTTTCAAATAGTAACCCCCATTTTTTATTCACGAGGGAAGTTTTGGAGTAATTACCCATTCCACTACGAGTATTAACCGGAAACAACGTTGCTTGACTGCCTACAAACAAAAGTGAAAAAAGTCGCAACAGCGTATAGTATCCGGCTCGAGGCATTTACGAGAGAACTATCGCGGATTAATTAGAATTATTATTTAATATACGGTGAACTTCAACAAAATAAATAGCTGATTATATACGCTACTTTTGAAGCAAGCTTTTTGCCTAGAAAAGTATCAGTTTCAGGAGATGATTTATTGCATAAGCGACGCAAATTGGGGTAGCGGTCATTTTTTTATGTACTGCGTAATCTTATTTGAATGTGTCAAATTTTTCTTGAGACAGACGATTATTGCGGAAACTACCGGGGATGTCAAAAAGTGATTTAGGTAATAATTCTTCGTATAGAAGGGCCCATTTAATAATGCTATGCACATTTTCACATAACTCTCCCTTAAGGTCAAGTGAAGAGCAGCTTTTTATTCTACATTCGTAAGAAACGTTTTTTCCCTATACTCCTCTGAATGGTTTATGAGCTAGGAAGCTGTTGTCAAGAATTTGGCACATAATTTTGAAGACCTGCGTGTAAGGAGCAAACCAAAGGCGAGCTGCTACTGAGACGAGAATCAGTGAGATCTGGAGTCCGAGAGCATACAACATGATGCTGTATATGACTGACTGCATCACCAAAAGATGATGGGCGATGGGTTCGTCACATCCCGACGCCTGGCTCATTATTAGTGTTATTATGATTATATTTTTCTTTCTCATTTCCTTTCAATGGCGCCGGAAGGATGAATACAATGCCAAAGGAACTGTGACAAGGCGCAGGTGGGCTTGCCCCAAATGATTTAACTTTCTCCAGTACCCACCCTAACGAAACAATTCGTGTAAAGTACTCCACGAGACACGCGCGCCATTAAGTGCAATGGAATAATTTACGGCGCGTCCAATGCGTCCGACGCATCCGATCCGCTTCAGTACCTTAAATGCACACACACTTTTTAAAGATAGAGTGCATAGAAGTATCTACGACGCTTTGAAGAAACTTAGAAAAGACTTACGCGCTAACGAAAGGACCTATAATATTCCACAAAATGTATCTAATAAATATTCTGGGAATTCGTTTAACATCCCTGGAGAAAGCAATTAGAACACCTGGGAACTTTTCCAAAGCGCTCTGCCGCGTTCCCAGGGTTTCCTGGAGTTTTTTTTACGAGTTTAACACCCGTGTGCCTGGGTGGCGGGTGCCCACCAGAACTTTCAGTGCCGTTTGAAAGAATTTTACGTCCTTTCAGAGCTTTTCTACAGATATAGAGGATCTACAAATTTTGCAAAAAAAGGGGTTTTACAAAAGGTTCTAAAGAAACTTTGAGAAGTGCCCGAAATGAGTTTCCGACAATTCCGAATTTAAATTAGATGCCAAAAATAACAAGATTGGGTTCTGCCATCGCAGTCGTTTCCATAGTTTATGTCGTGCTTCGCGTCCCATTTCACAAAAGAATGACAGATATCATTAGAATGCGCAATCATCTATTTCACTTTATCTGCCCTTAAAGTTAAAGAGCGATTTAGCTTACTCATTCAAGCCTATTGTAATCAAGATAATTTCCATTTGTTTCCAGATGCATTTCCCTGAAGAAAACATCTGGTAACATCTTTATTGTAACCTTCCGGCTTGTAACGAAGCAACATAAAGTTAACTAATGTAAAGAGTTCATGAGCTTCCATTTGGCCTTTCGAGTATGTATAAATTAGCATGCACTAATTAAATGAGTTATAGTAAAGGAGCGCGGATTGAGAAGATTGTGGTGTCAAATTTTGCGCACTTAAATAACGAATCGATTGCCAGATGTTCGGGAATTTTTGCACGAACAGGAGCCGAGTAGTTAATTAAGAATCGAATTGATTGGTTTCGATTTCGTATTGAATGCAATTTTAAATTTCTGATTTACCTAATAGTAATTTGTAAATTTGAGAGCCTATATCGAATTAAATTTGGTTCGGATTTAAAATAAAATTTTGCTTTAAGGAATTTTTATTCCACAATTTCAAAACAACAATTTGCCAAATTCAAAGGGATATTTTCTTGCTGATTTTATTTGGTAAAAAATGTGAAAGTAAAAAACCTTTAAAGTGTTTATGTATATGTAAAAATGTGTTTGTACTAAGAAGAAACAAACCAAGCTTCCGTAAAATAGGTCGGACCTTGAACTACCTTGAATTCGAACATTATTAAATGACGTATCTATTATTTAGAACTTCAATTGGTCTTAGATCCGGATGAGAAGTTTGCATACCGCGTATTTACATGTAAATGTGACATTCAAGGCAAAGAAACATGATTGTGGGAACATTATCTAAACCATAGAGGAAATACGCCTAAACTAAAGAAACTTGGGAAAGTGCATTAGATACTGGACTATATACCATAAATCCAGTTCTGTCTTACAGCAAACTTCCCTCTTTGGGTGGTTAATATTATAGTACGAAATAGTGGTGAGTTCACAATTGCCACGATTAAGAAATATTGAGTTACTTTCAAAAATTCAAATGATATAATACCCAAACATCAAAACTTGCTTGTAATTGTTCGATTTCGACATTTTTTGCGGTTGCGGCTGATGGTCAAGGATGGACGATGACTTGTTTACCTACAGTGTTGACCTCGGAACATCGTCAAAAGTTAAGTAAACGCTCAAGAGTGGAACATTCAAAAATGAGAGTGCACCAAAAATTCCCCATGCAATTAATTAGACTAGATAATCAATTTTTTATTATCACATTACACTTGAATTACTAACTAGCACTTTGGACATAGGGTGATTTTACAAGTATATTCGCCCCATCTACGGTATATCTACATTATCTGCAACGAATAAAGAAATTAGAATCCATGCAAATAAATTAGGAACTTTTATCCAAAACCGCCCAATAATGAGTACGTTCAATTTTGGTGGAAAAAATTACACATTACACTACCTACTCCTAAGGACCTTCGATTTGTTTCACGTAGGTAGTGAATTTATAAGTCCCATTTTGGAAAACACATCAGACCTTAATAACTTGCTCATTGAGCGGTTTTGGATAAAATCTTGTATTTGAGTCGTGTGTCATTGGTTCTTTATTATAACTATCACTTACCTTTTCTGATTAATTCACTTTCAGGCCCCCACAAGATGCTCAACCAATTTTCCATAAATCGTCATCGTTCTCAGGCACCGCGAACTAAAAGCGGACTGCTTTGCTTCTGCAAGGTTAAGATGTCAATTAAAGAATGAAGATAAAATGTGACTATGTCACATATTACTGACCTTGTTCCTCGTCCTAAATTGCAGTTATCGACGCGTTACAAACACAGTTTGCATACGAAACTTGCACGCCTAATGCCAAATTGTGGCGTACGTCCACGGTCCAGAAATTAATTACGAATCGCGGACCAAACCACATAAACTTCCAATAAGTTCTAAATTAAAGATCGCAATACAAATCAAAACCGGATTTTCCAAACTTGTTAATGCGGTTCATTTTTTGTCTAATATCCATATTAAATAAATAAATAAATAAATTCGGTTAACCTTCTGTTCGAGCAGTACAAAAAAAAATTGCTCTGCCAAAATCATCTTAAAGTAAAGTTCTATTAAAGGCGACGCGCACTGCACTGGCGGATGATATAATGCGAAACTACAGTGACTTTATAGAGACAGTGGCGACAACAGGGTATCTCGTTTTTGATTGGTCGTTGGTTCCGGTCGCCATATTGGAGCTAAATTCCAAACTGGCCAATAGAAAACCTTCAAAACGACGCGGTGCACTCCGTGCTATAATTATTAATTATACTGTTTTGACAGTGTCACCTGTAATTGTCACGGCTTCATGTTACTAGTTTACACTTTGCTTCTTGTATTTGCTTTATTTTACGTTTTCCGTCTCCAGTTTTATATAAACTCGATTTTTAAAGACGCATACATATAGTTTGGATTTATTACGATATTATAAGGTATGTAATTCGCTTAGTGTTTTTAGATGTAAAACTGTGCCTAACCTTACGACTGGTAATTGATGTAAAATTTTTTTCAGAAGCCCTAAATACCTAATGAGTTTAGATAGAAAACTGGTTAGAGAAGCAGCTTATCCGAAATTTAGCAGCAAATTCAATTGTGATCGTAAATACGTTTGAATTGGTTTCATGTTTGCTGGAGCACATGGAATATTGATCTCTTGTACTCCGTGGACTAGATCAACGTGTTTTGTCTTCCATTTAAGAGACTAAAGAAATACTTTTAAGTCCGGAAGGAGCAACACGCGACAGGGGACAAGAAGTGACAGAAGACACTGAAATGTCAAACACAATTTAATGATTATTTATATGTACATTTTGGATATTGCACCATATTTCATACTTATTATACCGTTTTCCATATACCCATACCTTTTTGAATTTGGGAGGCATTTGTTTTCCCATAGGTTGTTCTGCAAAGCTTTAAACGATCATTTCTGCGCCGTTCGTTTTGAACAAGAATCTTTACTTAAATGAAACTGACATTTATTATTCTACGCTCACAATTTGACATGACAAGGTATATTGATCTTACAATCAATTTTTTAGCTCCAATATGACGGATTATGATAAGTTGTCGCCACTGTCCTTATAAAGTCACTGTATGCGAAACTATGACGGCGTGTATTGGCGTCAAACTCAAAAAACGTCCAAGTTTCGGAAAAGATCAAAAAGTTTTACAGAGTTTCAGAGCACAAAGCATAGTTTCACGACAGGTCAAAAAGTTTCACGGAATTTAAGTGTTTCGAAAACGCCTTGGGGTTGTGAGATTTTAAAAAGTTTGAAAATGTCTCAGTTTCATGATATTGCAGAGAGAGTATGGAACAATTTTAAAGAGTTGCAGAGTTACAGAAATTTTCAAGCAGGCGGGTGGGAAAGGATCAAAAAGTTTCTGGAAATTTCAAACGCTAAGTATAGAATGTTTCAGATCTTTTGGAAAGAGACGCCTTTAAAGTTTCATAAAGAATTAGAGGGTTTCGAAGTATTACAGACGAATGTCAACGATACTAAAGAATTTCTGAGTCTTTCATAGAGAATAAAGTTTCAGCAAGCTGCTGAAGAGATCAAAAACCAAATGTTGTAGACGGTTTCAGGATAATTTAGTAGATTTTGAAGCGTTTCATGCAGTTTTGGAAAGTTAAAAAAACTTACAAAAGCTTTCACAGTAATTTAGGTAACACTTTATGTACCTACAGCTTCAAAGAGGTTTAGAAAGTTTTTGAGATAATCGCAAATTCTTCAGGCAAAGCACGGATTTCAGATCGGAAGAATTCCTCATCTTTCAAAGCGATCCATCCATTGATCCATTTTCCGGCATCTTGAAAAGATCTTAGGCGGTGCTTGGAGAGTCCATGAACCATCGATCGGATCCAGATGGCATTCGGAAGGGGCAAAGTTCGGTGAATAAGCCGCATAGGGTAAGACATCCCATCGCTTCCAACGTTTCCTTGACCGGTTTGCCGAGCATTGTCGTGGAGCAAAATGACTGTGTTGTCTCACGGCGTATTCCGGCCGTTTGGGTTTCAGTACTCGATTCATACGCATCACTTATTCTCGGTAGACCTCTCCTGTTTGCCAGGTTTCATCAGCTCACGATGTACCACTGGTTTCTTGTTACATCACATACAGAGCATTGTCTTGTGTCCATGGACATCTCGCCTTTGCTGCGAAGTGGATGGCGATCTTGGGTTAACCTAAGAGTGTTAGCGCTTCGGATTATCCCATTCATCTCCAGGAACGATGTGGTGCAGAAATCTTTTTCTTTGTTTCCGTCGTTCAACCAATTTTCCAAACTTCCAGATCTTTCCCATGGCATGAAGACGATTGGAAACTGTTGGTTGACCCCCGATTTAACCTTCTTGCGCTCCGTTTGAATTGAATCTTCATCAAGCAATGCTTGCCATTCGCCGTCTACAAACTTTTTCGGCGCTCTCTGACGTTCTTTGTCTGCAACATTCAACGTTTCTTCTTTGAACCGAGGAAACCAATCGCAGCACATTTATGAAATAGAGCAGAATTGCCAAAAACCTCTACAAGAATTCGGAGAGCTGCAGAGGGACCTTTCGCCAGAATGAAGTAGTGCAATAACTGTGCGCAAATGCTCTTTTTCTGGGATGAACTTCGAAATGAAAAACTATTTCCCCCTAAAAAATTAAACCTTTTTTCACTGAATATTGTTCACAGATAAATGAACCTTAAATAACAAATTTGACGTGGCTAGCACCGATACCACCCGCACATGCGCGTTCTGCCCAAAAGCTTTTCACCTGTTTCTTTTATGTCTAAGAATATGTGTACCAAATTTGATACCAATCGGTTCACCCGTTTAACCGGAAATGACAGTACAGACAAATTGACTGCTTCAAAACGTGTATTTCCGTCAAAAAAGTGGGGGGGGGGGGGGGTTAGAAGCTAGTTAGAATGAAAAACTGAGTAAATGTGCAAGATTTTGAAACCCTACGCCTACTCTGATTTTTTTAATTTCTTAACTACAAGTAACTTAAGTACACCCTGTACGCCCATGAAAGGAAATTATTTTTGTCCAACTTCTCCGAACTTTTTTTATAGAGGTATTTAATGATTCTTTCGCATTTAGTTTCACTTTACTTAAATTTTCATAATTAACTTATAACAAAAAACTTGAAACTTCTCCATTTGCCTATACATCGACTTCAAATTTGCTACACGATCATTACTTACAGTTTTTAAAGTAACATTTCTTCGGATTTCCTAAAAAAATCAAAGGTTAAATAAGAAAAACATCAAAAATCAAAGCAGGCCTAGAATTTTTTAATTGGACGTTTACTCAGTTTTTCACTTTAAACCATTTTTCTTAATAACATTTGTGCGTACCTATCTCGTCCCCGAATGGTACAAACGTTTTTTTTAAATGTCAAAAGCACCCTTGATTTTTTGAAACTAAACTTGTCACAAATTAGTTTCCAATCAAGTAGAGGGTTTATTCCCAGAAGCTCAAAATTCAATTGGAAAATTATTTGTCTTTTACAAGAGACAACCAAACAATCGAAGGAGACACTGTATACCTGTTAAAAGTTATTCAATTTAAATAACACTCAAAGTACGCGATCGCTTTATACATGAACATCAAAGGGGTCAATTTAGGGTTCCGCCGAGTGGCGTATGTATACAAGGGAGGGGTTTGGGGGTTCAAACCCCCCTTTGGGTGATGCGCTCTCGCCTCAGCACTTGCATATTGCGGGGCACCCACAAAAACAGCAATGATGCTACGCGACAAGTCAGGGATATCTTCGATATCGATAAGGAAGCAGCAGTTGGTGAAATTAAACTTTGGTGGCAATATATTTCTTCCTCGCACAGTTCTCCCAAAAACGCACTGAAAATGTGCAATCCAGAAATATTCCCAACAGTGAATATCTTACTAAGATTACTAGTTACATTACCTGTGACAACTGCCACCAGTGAAAGATAATTTTCTACCCTGAGACGGCTCAAAACTTATTTGAGAAATACCATCAGCGAAAATCGCCTCAATGGTCTAGCTTTGTTGAATATTCACACGCATATTGCTGTAAGCATTGAGGAAGTGTTGGATGAACTTGCTCTCAAAAAAAGGAAACTTCCACTCCGTCCGTCTAACTTCATATTTACTTCCTTATATATTTATTGACTTTATTATTACTTCATATCTAATATGAATCGAAAATATGTTTTGTTTGAGTTTGATGTTATACTTATATTCTATTCAAAATAAATTCTTTGATAATACTTATGAAAATAATCGTTTGTTTAACATTCATTCACAAAACTGGAGACTATCCTTTCGTTCTAAAAAACTATAATTATGAATATTCATCCTTCCAATAGTTATAGAACCCTGAAATCTAAGTATATTACAAATCAACGCCAAATTCCAGAAGCACTAAAATTATTTTCAGGATGATTTCATATACCAACCTGTATTCGGCGGCGATTATCCTAAACCCCCCCCCCCCTCGACGACATTCTGGATACGCTAATGGTTCCGCGGGAGTATTGTGCTAACCTATCCCATTTCAAAAGTGAATATTTCTCGAGGGATTTAGATTGAAATTTTGTCTCTACAAGATCCCATGATGGAAAGTAGTAGACAAGTCCCCAAAAAGCATCCCTTGCTGCCTTTTATTGGCACGTCAAGATACACTTAAGACATAGGATGCCGATAGCGTCACACACAACAGAAGGCCGTACTTTTACCACTCGAATTCTTTGACGCTCCTTCTCTCGTGTTCCTACTCCGAACGAACTGAAAGAATGCATTTTACAAGGTACACATTTGATGGTGATTTTTATTGAACCTTCTTGGATATCCTCCATTTTTGCATGCTGTAGTTTTGTGAAGTTCTCTACGTCGTTCCATAAGTGTGACGTACATCCGCTGGCAATACGCCACTTGCTTCTCCTATATTTGAGAAATCCTTCAAATGCTTCTGGTATTACTACTTCATAATCCATCATTGTAGCTTCCACGTTATTTACATTTACATTGAGAGCTGTTGTTCTTCTGTTTCCGGTTGGTAAGGAAATTCGTCCTTTTCCTTTTGACTTTTCCCCCGATGACTTTTTGTCGAAATTCTTCTTTGACCCCGTACCATTTTGAATGTGTGAGTGGGTACGGACAAAGGGAATGTGGTAGCCCCCGACAAGATCTTATTAATGGCGGAATCGAAACTGGCTAATATAATACTGATCTGCGACACAAAAATGCCCTTAAGTCGCTTCGATCTCACACGAGGACTTTGATAATTTTTTTCATTTGCGCCTGTATATTGTATTTGGTTAACGATACGTTACAATTAAATGTTCAGCTTGTCAAGGGTACCGTATTTTTTTATTTCTTTACATAACATAATATAAAGTGCAAATGTATGTAAAAATTTAATCTGCTAAAAGCAAATAAGAATTAAATGTGGGAAGTCAAAATTAATGAATTCGTATGCTCTCATTTAATAAGCTCATTTATTTTCATAGCAAAACAGGATTTATGGAAAATGGTTTCCCACATTTAACTATACATATATAACACAACAAACTTGGGCACTGCTGTGCTGAATTTGTATACCCCAATTTGTGAAAATACCACCACCAACTTTTTAATTTTTTTGAGTTCAGACCACCGTAAACTAACTAGTTCAGACAGCCCTCCACTGAATAAGGAGGCCATATGAACTTCCCACTACATATTTTGGAATGCAGAAATGAATTAAACGTAGTTTACCTATACTCGTATACCAATTTCGAGGGTCACAGAAGTTCTTTAAAGAGAGTAAAAGTTATATTAGAATCACGGAGGCAGTTTACGTGTAAAAGGCGTTTTAAAAAAAGCTCAAGGAAATAAGGGGTGCTGTTTGTTTTAATAAAAGATTAGAACGTCAAGTGGGCCGCTATAATTTTTTATGCAAACTAGACAAAGGGCGGGGTTCGTAAAAAAATTCAAGCGAGCGACTATTGCAGTAGCGCATTTTTTCCATCGCATCGTGGGTGGTTTTCTCTAGCAGACTTGAGCGACGGCAAATTAATTAATAATCGTTATTAAACAAAGACGCATCTTGACATCACGAAATTTGAAGACGTATAAATCCAGTAAGGAAATCTCTTCAACATAAGCGATCCATTCCTTTCAACTTCATATACCACGAATCGAACGTCGACCTACAGAAATCCTGCATCAAGACAATTTCTATGAGTATCAATGCAATTTCAGGAGAAGAATTAAAGGTATTGTTGCATTTATGTTAACCTTGCAACTTCGATCCATATCAAATTCGTGTGTTGGGCATTGAAATAATGCTCTTGGTGTTTTTCCCAACGATCTTGGTGCATGAATCACGATTTTGGCATGTTTTACATGTGGCATCAAAAAAAGAACCTCACACTGACAAATTCATGTGTAAAGAATCAGACAGCCAGACAAAACTATAAAGGATCTGAGGATCCTTAATAATTTCAGGGCACGAGTGATTTTTACTAAAAAGCTAATTACATTAGTTCCTTCTATTTCCCCCAACAAAAAATTACAAAATTATTTACTAAAAAGGTTTCCTACAGAAGTGAATTGAAATCACGTAAAAAAAATCAATTGTCACCCTTTTTAGGATTTTCCCGAAATTTCAACAGAAAGTGCTTTTCAAATAACGGCTCGCTTATATTTTAGTTAAATGCCCGAAATGAATTTTTCTGGGGTAACCCTATTGTAGGACCGCTGCGCGTTATAAAGGGTATGGTCTGTTGTAGCCTTGAGGAATGTGTAATGATCTAGACGACAGGGTTGTATACTCAGTGGTAATAATAATAACAATTATAAGAATAGTTTCATTGTAGCATTTTCTTTAAATGTACACTTCAACATTTTTGTTTTATTGGTGTATTGGTATCACTACAAGAAAAAACTAAATAGATTAAATTGCATTTGGATCTGTGATCTACCACCCAAGGATGACTGATTTAATAATGAGGTCAGCGGCGACGCGGCCACATTCAAATTAGTTTTATTATCAACACATTGACCTCGGTGGTTATAAATATTCCTTCTCCCATTCGACTCCTTTCCACCCTTCTCTTTATTCCTTACTTTCCTCGTTGCATCCATATTGCTTCTCTCCCTCTCTCTGTTGGGCTACTCTTCCTCTTTTGGTTTCAGAAAAAAACTCGTGGTTGTGGTTGATCCATGCTCAAAATGGGGGTGATGAAACATAAAGGAAATAAACGACTCAATTCCTCAAAACCTTCCCCATGGCTTATTTCCTTTGTGGTTCTTTTGCTTTGTTACGATTATTTCTATCATCTTCTTCGCCCAGCTTTCTCCCTTTCGTCTAATATTTACTTCTTATTTTTCTTCGTTCTTTCTACATCGATCTTCTCCCTTTTCTCACCGCATAGCCTGCATTTCCTTTCTTCTTTTTCTCCACGTCATTCATTGCCTCTCTTCGATCTCAACAACCGCAATACATTATCAGCTGCTTATATCTTTTGTTGAACTACGAATTTTGTCCCTATGTTCGGGTATTTGTTGCTAGTTCTTCTTCCATACTTTTCATCCATATCCCTTCCACTGTCTACAAAAACGATGCAGATTGCAGATGGCGGTTTGATGAGGAATGTAAAAAGAAAAGGAAGTGATGGCTTTTTTGAAATTGTGTAGAAAAAGTGGTAATAGTTATGTTCGGGAGCGTTACAGGATAGTAAAACGAGATTATAGAGTGCTGTTGTTTCAAAAGAAAAAAAGGATTATTATGAGAAGGCTGCAAGATATTTAATTACTGTAAGAGATTCAAAAGAATTTTGGCGTTTGGTAGGACTCTTCAAGTTAAAGAATGGGTCGATAGGAGCAGGGGACTCACAGCACTCTCTGTGAACGTTTGGGCCGAAATTTTAATTTCTCAGAATTGGAAGTTGCTCTTGATCCATTAAACCCAAATAAGGTTGCGGGTACGAATAGAATTCAGGGGCGGACTGGGTACTCACGGGCCAGGTGGAATTGCATAGGTTACGGGCCATTAAAGTATTAGTGTAGTAATGAAGGTGGCGGGGGTAGCTCTGCGGTGCACCACAAAAACATTTTTTGCTTCATTTTAAGGTACTTTTTCGGAAATCAATTACAATACATTTTTTTTTTAATTGCAGCTGATAATTAAAAGTAACAAAATATACAATCCACACGAGGCGCGTCGCCTATCATTGTATTTCAGCACTTTCATGCTACGACAAAAAATTATAAATTCATTGTAAAACACTTCAATTAAAACAGAATTTTTTAACAACCTAACATCAACCCCAATTAGAGAAACGTGTTAATAATTTATGAATAGTGCAAGAAACTAAATACAGCACATACTTATAAATTTCCAACGGGCCATTATGACGTACAGGCCAGGTGGCAATCGCCACCCGCCCCCCCCCCCGGCCAGTCCGCCCCTGCTAATACATATATGGTAAACATCATACATTAACAATATAACGAAAATAAACTAACACACATTCCAAATAAAAACAACGGACAACAAAGCAAGACGTGGATAACTCAAGCTCTGTACATAAAGAGAAAAAGAGAGATACTCTCTTCAAGAAATTATATGCCTAAATATCCAAAAAGACTACAGAAAATATAAAAATAGATGAAATAAGGACATAAGAGAAACGAAAAGTGAACTCTTTAAACAACGGTTTCATAATTACCTATATGCGCAGCTCTCGAGGTCGAGTTACATCAATCAACGTATATTATATCTATCTTTTCCAAAAAAAAGTAAAAATGTAGACAGTAAAATATTTTTCACATGGAGTCAACAGTATAGTAAGACAAAGATTATGCAGACAATTGCGGAAACTTCTTAGACTCAAATAAAAAAACGTAATGAGTAACCAGCTCGTAATCGAGATCAATTCTGTAAGTTTAATTAATGTATAGTTCACCTGATAATGGCGATTATCGCCGAAAATATAGTCGTGTTTTAAGAGTACAACAATAAATTTATGGGGAAGGCTTTGAGATCCGATTTTCTTAATCTTTGATATAACTTAATTGGGGACACGAACATTAATCTGCAATTGAAGAGGCATAACCCGAGAGGAATCAGGGAAAGCATTCTACACCAATCTCTCTTAGATCACATCTTCATTCCCTTAAATATAAAAACAGTTAAATCGGCAGTAATTAAGCACATCCACATCTGGAATCAAACCTTTTCAGTAAGTCATCGCTATTATCTAATCCTACTAATCAAAAATATGCAGAAAATAATTTGTCAAAAATGTTAAAGCATACCGAATGGAGTGAACTAGAAGATAACATTGTAAATTTACCAAAAATATTATCAACACTTTCAAGTCCTTATACAACGGAAATGAAGTACAAGATACACAGAAAAAATCAAGAAAAAATACTAAAACATGGATGACTGACACATTATATCGAAAGATAATAGAAAAAGACAAATTGTACCAAAAATGGAAAACAAGTCCAAATACCTAACTTAGAATATAGGGAAAGATACAAAAAAATGCGAAATTCTTTAAACAACGTGATAAGGGACACAAAAAATAATTACATCCTCCAAAAATGATTTATCAACAGTAGTAAAAGAAGTAGTAGAAAGAAGTAGAAAAGATTGTCGATCACAGCACACCTTGTGTCAATTTACGATCTATGTTTTTTTTAAGATGCGAGCGACTTCAGGAATAGGATCGTGAAAATGTTGAACGAAAAGTCTTTTCGTTCAACATTGACACATCACACTTCACTAATAGGGTTATTCCTATTTATTTCGTTGCACATTTGTCTCCAACTTTTTTTCTTTTTGTGTTTCAGAAACCTCTTGGAATAGGCAAACTTTTCTTGGCATATTATATAATTTTCTAGATACGATTTTTCTTAAAAGTGATGAGTGCGTTCTTCTACTACCCTTGCACATTCCTCATCCCACCACACCGGCGAAGGTCTATTACCCAGATGAAAAGGCGCTTTACATTGAAATATTGAATTGACCACACTGTGAACTCTCTCGATAAAAAAATCAATTTTCGTACATTTAAGAGGGTAACTATCACAAAAATGGTTAATAGAAAACCTCTTCGTACGCGATAATGTTACAGGATGGCAACCAACACGAAGTAACTCTAAAAACAGCACTTTTCTACGTTTTATGTTCATTTTTATAATGACCCATTTAAGTTTATTTTACCCGCTCTGATGTGGTTTTCACATTATAATGATCTATACATTTTATTTCTTTTTTCGGTATGTCAATCGTATCGAATGGTTACACGAAAAAATATACTCCTCTGTCAATTTCCGTTATTTTTAATCACATATAAGCTATACTTGTCGATTTATGTTACCTACTTATATAACTAATTAAAAATCGTTTCTGAACAGCTAATGACAACTGAGTACATTCGTCTGGGAAGCTTCACGACTCCCAAAGGTTTTCTTGTAGTGGTCAAGGAAATGCGCCGATTTGGATTTGAAAACCGGGGGCGCGCATACGTCTTTAGTTAGCAACATAGTCCGGATTTGCGCGGGACCTCCATCAGATTATCCAATAGAAATGTGTTATCCGCCTGTACCCGCCTTCTCTTCTAACTCTGCTATTCGTTTCCAACTTTCCACTAAAATTGTATGGCAATTATTGATTCGCGATTTAAAAAATGGATGAGATTTTTTATGAAAAAAAGGCCGCTAATTAAAACCCACGTAACGCTACACACAGAAATAGTAACCCTAAATTCTTTCTGATAATTTGTTGGCTCGGAAGTGATGCGGAGGCGTCGCGACGCCGTCCAAATGTCGCAAATGACAAGGAAAAGAATCTCTAACAGCTGCTTATGTTCCCTGACTAGTAAATATAGAAAATCCCGTGATCCAGCAGTTATTTTAGTATCTGATATAGAAATAAAAGAGACCAACGTTTAAATAAGTTTACAATCAGTAAATTCGTACAATTTGAACGCTTTATTACGAATTTACGATAGTTCAAGTACAGGTGTTGGGTATATTACGATTTCTCTAACCAGAGCAATAAACTTTAATGTAGGACATTAACGACCCAACACTATTTGGACATGTATGCTTTGTACCCATATTTACGATTGTCTACGTCAGGCTATACGTGTGTTATCGATTACCGATGCTTATAGAAAAATAATAGAAAATACCGTCACTAAATCGTGGCGCCATAACAAAATGCTCGTCGATTTTAAAAAAGATTGAGGGGCACAACTAAAGTGGTGTACACTAAGTCTAGATCTACAAAAATACACAATCTACAAATAATTGTGACAAAAGGTACGATCAGGATTTGCAATACAATTCCGCGTCGCGACGGTGCGCCTCCGCGCAAGCCAGACACACAAACACTCGCTTCTACACCGCCACCACCGGCTGCAGTGTAACACGCCCCAGGTTAATAATGACAATAAAGCACATCGACATCCTGTTAGTGTCGCGTTAGTGTTACATTGCAGTCGTGAGTTACAGAAAAAGGAACGAACATCAAAGTAATCAGCACCAAAAGAAAACGAAAACCTCACAGCAAACATTAAATCTGGGTGTCCGCCGCACGATTGGGAAGGCGGACTCCACCGTGCAAGAAGCGTTTGTGGGGCCGCGTTCATTTCAGATGGGATACCTGGGGATTTGGATTTATGATTTCGCGGCCCCTCAACCGCTATTTGGATATTTAATAAGTGGAGCTCAATACTAATCAAATTAAAATCCCACACACACACACGCACTCACAACACTCATCGAAGTAACTTTAAATCATTACATTTGTATCTTTGAGGCGTTATGAACGGTGATTCGGGATACGTCTCAGCCAATTCCTAATCTGCAAAGCATACGGAATAACGAATCATCATTTGCCCTTAGGGACAAATAGCTAGAAAAACATATAAAATGTTGATTACGATATAAAGAGCGACGATGTACACAGCGATAGCAGTGTCCATCGCGTGCTGCCTCAACATTATTCGAGGCCATCAAGCTCGGATTATCTAACACTTACCCGTATTGTCCCGGTAGCAAAGTCGGGTAGCCGGTTCGCACTCCAGGGAATGGAAACCCTGCAAAATTCGACATTAATAGTTTGCATGCCTACTTCGATAAGGTAAACGGAGTGTCGGTTCGATGGCGCGGGACTTATGTCGTTTCCGGATATGCCGGTTATAAAGGGAAACGGGCAATCACCGCGTGTTCACCTACATATACCAAAAAACGCACCACGCATTCGATTGCAACACACCAATTAGCAATCAGCAAACTTACCCGCTTGTACATTTCCTCGAGGTTTTGCTCCTAGTATCGCCAAATTAACGTTAGCTTTTCTTCCGTCAATAATAGGATTCGGATCCTTGCAAGCCCTTTCCGCTGCAGTCCGTTCCCCCATTATCACCTGAAATTATCATTTCGATCAAAAGCTCGATTAAAGAGAAACCAAAACACTTACAAATCCGTACCCCCGGCTCTTTCCAGTCTGTCTGTCCGTAATAACAACGGCTTCCTCGATGTCGCCATAAACAGCGAAATGTTCCCGCAAAGATTTGTCACTTGTATGATACGGCAATCCACCGACAAATAATTTAGTCCACGTAGTATCTTTACTTTGTAGTCCCGTCCCATTAAGGGTGTTTGTAGCCCCTAACATTCCCAGTCCTCCTAATCCGCCAACTAGATTTTCCGCATCATTCGCGCCACCAATCGTACTACTCGGCATCAACATGTTGAGTTTCACTAATTTACCTTTCAAAATTACGTAATTTAATTGATTTTAAAAAAGAAATTTATAATCCGTATAGCTGAGCACGTGTACGACTACTGCGAGCTTTAGCTACCAGCTTTGGCACCCGCCAGCTACTATTACTAAATTTAACTTTACTGTGCAGCTGTAGCTTCGAGCCTACACCGGCAGTGGGATTTATTTATTTCGACGACCACGTTTTGCGTATGAATCAGACTAAGGGACTACCGTACACTTCAACGTATAAGCTTATATTAATAACGTGCCGATACTTTTCAACATGACGAACTTACGTCGCCGAAGCTCGCTGACGCTAGTATTGTTAACGCGCCCCCTGGACTGGCGTCGATCGCCTGCAGGTGGGGACGATGGAACGTATGTGGAACACTATGAGGACGTTTACAAAATGAAATCGAATTTTAATTAGGGTCGCGTGAAATTAATTACTAATTGTAAAGTAGTATTTCAACGCGAACACCTAAAAAAATGTTTGATTAGCGAACTTAAATACCCTGCAGCGTTAAACGGTATATTCTTGCACATCTGCGCGTGCTACTATAGGGTCGTGTTACCCCCCAATGCTCTTGTTCCACTTGACGAGTGCAACAATATTGTATCGCACACCTGGTGAAGTTCCAGTATATCACCACTAAAACGTAACCTTATCACAAACTATTGCGTAAAAAACACCTAATGTGTGTGGACGTACATACTCCGTAATTACTCCCAATTACATTAGTTACTTAGAACGGTAACCCGAAAAATAAAAGAAGTAATTGTACAAGCATTAATGATATCCCCCTTTGAGGAGTAGCAGCTGTCACTATCGTTACACATGCGTGCCGGCTGGTCCTAAACCATACTAATTCTGGTGGAAGACTATAACTACAATCACCCTTATAAAAAATTTAAGAAAGATTAATCACTTTTATTGTAGAGATTGTTATATTTTACATCTATAAATACCATTTGAACGTACCTTTAGCCTTTTTCTAAAAATATAATTTTGAATCAGTTCAATGCCGCCTTAAATAATCAAAAGCTTTCTGAAACAAAACAATCTATTAGGCAATTGCACTGGGTTTCGCAAGATTCGATTCTAAATTCCTATTGTTTTATTTCACAAATTTCCTATAGGGAAACCACGTTAAAAAGTTTTAAATTTAGTGCTGGAGCAAAGTTGTCCCGAAGTTGTGGGAGTGTTTGATCTAGAATGTCCAAAGGAAGACATTCTCACATTGTTGGACAAGAATTTATTTATGTATTTCTAAAGTTGGGGATAATAATCTAGAATTCATACACCAAATCTTCTAGAAAGTCCGAGGAGCTTTCCTATTATTATTAGCCCCTAAAAACAAGTTAACAAATACAACATATTAAATTACTATTACTTGCAATGTGCCACTGCACGTAACCTACGAATTTACATTTACAGATGTCGACAAGAAATTCCTATTTTTTAGTGGCACATTTTTTGGATTATTTTCGTCAAGATTTCCAATTTTCATGGCTAAATTATCTAAATCCAAATCAAACGACAGAATATCCAACTACAATAGAATGTAAGTGTACTTATTACATCACGTTAAGGTGGCATTTACAAAAAGTGCAAAAGTTGCGTTGCGAATAAATTTGGTTTCCTGCAAATGTCGGAACATTATATATTTGAATGAATGTTATTTCAACGAAAGCAGTATATCCAGAAGGAAGTTATTGTGAAAACAAATTTCCACTTTTTCAATGTAAACGGCACCTTACTAAAAAACTACATTTCGCATTTATTTGTCGTAACACTTTCGATCTTAAAGCATAGTGCAGGCGCTGAATCGACATAAAATTGCTAATAAAAAAATTGTTTAGTGAAAAAAAATTAGATACAAAGAAAGGTACGTATCGGGGAGGAAATTACTTAATGAACAAAAGCAAATTAAAATATACATACTTGAAAGAAATGCAAATAATCAATGCACCCTATTTTTACAATGGCTATTTACGCACTTGGATATAACGAAATACACACAAGTTAGAGCTTGGTAGGATCGCATTGTGTACCTATTTTTTTGGGGGGTAGGTGCACGCTCCGAGAAGAGAAATGCCGAAGTAGTGCTTCTCCTACGACGGGTATACCCACTTAAAACCCTACCAATGCGTCGGCTACTACGACCATTAGCCTGTAGCTTCACTATCACAGATTATTAATAATTCCGTCGCTCTGTACAAACCTTAGTCAATATACAATATGATCTAAGGTACAAACCCTAGCACTCTTTGACATCGATCGGTGTCTTTAAAGTTAGTCTCCCAATTCGTGCCAACTTCGAATAAACCACACACATCATTGTACTGCGGAGTAATACACAGTATATGCTCTGATTTTAAGCTAACTTCATAGCTTGTGCATAATGGTTGGTTTTTGCCTTCCAACAAGAATCCGTAGGTTAATGCGCAGTGTGTCCTCGTCGAAGTGCTTTGTATCCAAGCCTTTACCTACTTTCTTTTTAAATACACTTATTTGGTTAGAATATTGTATGTGAGAGTGGTGTATGGAATTAAACAGTTTTGGTACAGCGCATTTTAGGGATCCTTCACCATATTTGTTAAAGTAATATGGTATGTGGTATAATAATCTTCTCGTTTGACAATGATTCATATTTATACTCACAGCGTCAAGTAGGTTTTCGTCATAAACTCATAACCATTGCACGCTGGATGCTTTAGTGTATCTTCAAAATACTGACCAGGAAGCTTTTAGGGAAAGACGGCACTTGGTATCGGTCATGTTCGATATTGAAAAGGCGTACGATATGATGTGGCGTTATGGAATCCTTAAGCGTTTACATTTATGGAATTTAAGAGGAAAGCTATCGCATATCGTAGACTCCTTTCTGACCATAACTTAGACGAATTGGCTGCTACAATACAACGTGGCATAAATAACATAAATGAATCACCTCAATCACTTGGTTTTAGGATTTCGCCAACAAAAACTACACCTACCCATTTTTGTCGGCTAATTTGAAGTAGATAAGCTGGTATTAGGTAAGGGCGAAGATTTAGTTGCTTTTCGTTATCCAAGTACATTTTTAGGTTTTTTCAATATTAAATTAGTCACAAAGAATCGCAAAGTTTATTTCGTCATCTAATTCGGAATCCACAAGAAGCAACGCAACAGCCTTTATTCGAGGTGCGTACATACCAAATTTCATAGAATTTGGTTCATAATTAACGGAGATGTCAAAAATCGAATTTCGTATGCGCGAAACAATTTTTTTATGGGCTTATATTCCCGGTACCTCCGTACGAAATTTCATTTAAATATTTTCATAAATACCAAAAATCGATTGCGCATGCGCGAAACAAATCTTTTGATTCGGCATTAGTTTTACTTATATTCGAGGTGCTTACATACTAAATTTCATGTAAATATTTTAATAAATAAAAAAAATGGGGATTGCGCAAATACAAAAGTAGGGTTGCGCATGCACAATTTCTTTTAATTCATCTGTATATAGTTTGCCTGCGGTTTAAGGAATATTTACTAACGCAGAAAACCGTACATTCATTTATGTTCTTTGTGACAAGAATTATAGAAGAACCCCTTTTTTGGAGGTTTGGGCAGTAACTGTAACTTTTTGGCCCGTTAGTCTATATAGTCGAAAAACAATAGCGACTTTTCTTATGTCCTGAAGAACATGTGTATCAATTTTCAACGCGATCGGACGCGGACGTTTCTACACAAAGTTATACAAAATTATAAACGATCTCGAGGATCGTTAATAATATCCACGTTTCTGGTATTCCCGAAACTTCAAGTGAGAATGTTGAAGATAAAGTTCCTATCTGTTATAAAAGATAGGATGTCCATTGTCTTGTCATTATGCCGAAGGAAATTGACCGCTGCCACCGCATTGGCAAGAAAATTAACGATAAACCACGTCCCGTCATCATCGGCAAATTCCTGAGTTATAAAACTAACGCGCTACTGTACTTCAACAAAAAATTGCTTAAGGGTACGGGAATTACCTGCATTACGGGAGGACCTTACTATAGTGATCGCGCGAAGCTGTATAAATTGGTAGTGGATAAATATGGGTTTAATAACGTATGTACATACGACGGTGTCATAAAATTATAGTTAAAGAACACAATACAATGAATTAGAAGTGCCGATGATATCTGTGGAAGAAATTTCAATTTCACCAATCCCAATAGTAAAAGAAAAACGTTTGGATAACCGGAAAGATATTGCTGAAGGTTAGGGTGTCCATTTGAGGCTAATAGTGCCTCTGAATATTATTGCAAAAATATTCGAGAAGCTAAGAAGCAAAGTGAAACTTATACATTGATTTCCATACGGACATAAGCTTCACTTAAAATTTACCTTTCTCTGGAAGTGAGCTACAACGCGCGATTTGTGAAACGAAAAATACGGCACCAGGACCAGATAATGTACCTATTCGTAGTTCATGCAATGTTACGTAAACTTCCCGAATCTAAACGTAGGGAACTACGTATTTACAAAGAAGTGTTCAAAAATGGAACACATCCTGCACAATGGAAATAATCCCTCATTGTTTCAATACCTAAGCCTGAAAAGGATACCACTAATTCATTCAATTATAGACCGATCGCTTTAACCGGCTGTATAGGAAAGGTGTACGAAAAAATATCAATAAAAGGCTTATGTGGATACTAGAAAAGAGGAATTGCTTAACACCGAGTCAGGCGGGTTTCAGTAAACAACGGTCAACAAGCGACCATTTGTATTCCTGAGAAACATATGTATATTGTGGTCATAACATTCGATATAGAAAAGGCATACGAAATTATGTGGACGTACAACATAATAAAGGTTTGGACAAATGGGGTCTGAACGGAAACTTATCTTGCAAACTATACAGTTTTTTGAATGATCATAGATTAAGAAGCGAGCAGTCTGAAGCTCACACCCTAGAGAACGGAATACCTTAGGGATCAGTTCTCAGTTGCACGTTATTTCCAATAGGAATAAACGAATTAATTTCAACCATGAATTCCGAAGTTAATTCTATGCTTTATGTGGATGATTTGATAATTTACTATTAACATTCAGATATGGGAGTCAAGATAAACTGCAAAACGCTTTAAATCAAATAACAGCACAAGCAGACTTGATGGGTATGAAATTTAACACTGAGAAAACCAAGGCTATTCACTTCTGTCGACGGAGACTTGAACATGAAAACCCGAAATTATATAAGTATGAATGGCTCAAGAATCTCAATATCAAAAAGCATGTAACATCAATTAACACAAACACCAGCAACAAAGAAATGTGGGAAAAGATCAAAAGCATTAAAGCTATCCACAAACCATTTAACATCCCCGGATTAATAACACCTGACAGCACCATCACAACAACGACTAAAATAGTCGAGACCTTAGCAAAAAATTTCGAACATATTTACAATACACAAACCTACACAGACTCATTCCTGAGACACAAACAACAACTTGAAGACACCCCCATACCCACTGAACTCGATGATGACGAAAGTTATAATAAAACCTTCACATCGCTGGAACTTGAAATAGCACTGAATAATTGCAGAGACACAGCTCCCGGACCCGACGGAATACATTACAACATGCTTCAGAATCTGCCACCACCATTCAAAACCACTATTCTATATCTTTACAACCGAATATGGACGGAAGGCAACATCCCCGCGTCATGGTGCACTGCTACAATAGTCCCAATCTTGAAAACAAATAAAGAAAAAGCCGACCCAAACAACTACAGACCAATATCACTCACAAATACTCTATGCAAAATCATGGAACGAATGGTAAACTACCGTCTAAACTGGATCCTAGAACAACAGAACCTCCTCACACCAATACAAAGTGGATTCAGACGCCAGCATTCAACTATTGACCACATAGCTAAACTCGAAATGGAAGTAAAAAATGCGTTTACAAATAAAGAATCCTTAATAGCAATACTCTTAGATAGTTTAAACAAACTGGTAGAATCAGTGTATAACCAAGGCCTACGATTAGTTACCGGCGCTTTCAGATCAAGCTCAGCAATTAGTATCTACAGCGAAACCGGGAAAACCCCTCTAAAATATAGATACAACCAGAAGTTATTAAAATACGCAATTAACATTATAGCGAACAAGAAACACGCGAACCATAATAACCTTGTCTACCCCCCTTTCCCAATACTACACAACAAAAACAACAAAAATATTCCCCCTTACAACATCCGAGCCTACAACCTCCTCACAAAACTAAACCTTTGACAACGTGAATATCTACAACCTACCAAAATAAACGCCCCATGGACCCTCCCCAACATCAAAGTCGATTTAAGCCTGACCAACCACAAAAAAACAAACACCTCACCGTTAGAGTACCACAGCCTTATAAACGAACTAATTGCAAAATACAGCGATTACAATAAAATATACACAGACGGTTCTAAAAGTAGTGAGTCTGTAGGCAGTGCGATTGTCAGCAAAAACTTAAATACAATGTACAAGCTAAACGACGGAACGTCTATCTTTACCGCGGAACTATACGCTATCCTACAAGCGACCAAACTCATACTAAGAAGAGATCACGAAGAAAAGTGGATTCTCATAACAGATTCCCTATCCGCACTCACCGCAATACAGCACATCTATTGCACGCACCCTTGTGTACAAGAAATACACACGACCCTAACACACCTAAGCCAAAAAAACAAAAAGATCGTCTTCGCATGGACCCCATCTCATAGAGGTATCACAGGAAACGAAGAAGCCGACCAACTAGCCAAACATGCCCTCACATCTGCAGAAGCAACAATCGAAAACCTATCCACAAAAGAAGACCACCAAAAATACACAAAAAAAACCGTAAGAAGAGAATGGGAAAGAGAATGGTCCTCATGTGAAAACCTACTGAGGTCCATAAAAGACGACACCCAGAAATGGAAAACCAAAAGGTCATTCACCAGGAAAGAAGAAGTAATTATAACACGACTCAGGATTGGGCACACGCATCTCACCCATGGGTACCTTATGGAAAAAAACCCTCAACCCCCTCCCCGATGCGAAAACTGCAACAGAGGGCTAACAGTGAAACACCTTCTGATCGAGTGCCCAGAATACACCAACCAAAGAACCATGAGCGGCCTAGCACAATAAAATCTTCAATGTATCCTGAACAAACACTCCGAACTACCAAATGTTATCAAATATCTTAAGGCAATTAACAAACTTGATCTTATCTAATGTAACTACATACATATGTAACAGTGCCAATGACCTCAGCAGTTGAGGCACTCAAATTTCATAATAAAAAAAAAAATAAAAAAAAAAAAATAAAAAAAAAAAAATATTAGGGATAACAATCCGTTGTATTTTAAGGATCGCACTCTTGCGCTAAATGTAAAGAAAGTAATAAGTTTAATAAGATGTTTATGTCACATTAACTGGGATTGTGGCAGAGATACATTATTCGATCTACATAATACATATAAATCTTTTCTAATCCCAGTTCTAGATTTTGGCTGTATTGTATATTCATCTGCGAGAAAAAGTACGTTAAAGATACTGGACACAGTGCATACTAATGAAATTAGACTAGCAATTGGCGCCTTCCGTACTAGTCCACTGCAGTCTATATATGTATACTTATATGTATATATGCAAGTTCGGGTGTACAGCCGTTGTACATACATACGTAGAGATATTATTATGCAACTATCTTGTTCACATGTTATCCTTTAGAAATCATCGAAATGACATTCTTTTAAACAATAATGACACCATACTAGAGTACCAGCGAAGGCTTACTGTAAGTAGACCTGCAAAAATCAGAGCTTTAGAACCAATAAACCAAATTCTATGTAGGTTATCAAACAACGTTATTTTGCGTTGTTTAGTACGAGCAAAAACCGTGCTTTTCAATTATCCGTGCTTCGTACGGTCCCGTGAAGCCCGGCCAAGAAATAATGTTTGTAAAATTAAGCAACTTGGCATATAAATACTTGATCAATTCTCACTATTTCACTTGATTTCCAAGTTGAGTTAATAACTTGAAAATCAAGTCAAATAGTGAATCCGTAAGTATCATGCAGCGCCATCACTACAAAATGTTTTCATTTTTATGGGTATTTTAGGATAAATATTAGTTTATTTCCATCGTGCCATTTATGGACTATCTCTATACCAGTTGATACTTGTTTAGTTTTTGCCGGTTTAGATTCAAACGGTGCATTCAAATTAATGATTGTCATCGCCATTATCGTTCGTCAATAGTGGCTGCATTGGTAATATCTTATATGTATATACCTAGATATGACTGGACTGTAACTATTATATATAATGTCTTGTTCTATATACATCTGAAACTTACCTACAGATTGATGGCGCATTTCCCTGTCCCAAGAGGAAGAAACGTTCTAACCTTATGCCTAAGTTCCAAAAGCAGCGGCTCACAATACATCCAATTACTTTTACGAATTTACGATAACACTTGGTAATATATTATGGGTAAATTGAAGAGCCATTATGATACCTTCATCCGTGGTGTTTCGAATTCTGCTTTTCGTCTAACTGGTGCACTACTTCAGTTTCTAGTTTATGAAAATTCTAACAGTGCATTGTGAAACTCTTCTTGAAGGGATGTACCTAAATGTGGGACTTGTATGATTATCTGTATCTGTCGATTACTGATGTGTCGTGAATATCGGTATTTCGGAGTTACTTAGAACGGATGTATTATTATTATGATCAACATTGTGATTATTAGTTATTTTAACACTTGTAGTGGTTTTTCAATACATGAGACGGGTCGTAATTAGGGCTGAGAAAAATTATCCATAATCGAAAACAATCTATTTTTAATATCTGGGTGGTTAAAGTGTTTTGAGAATGTATTCGTATAACAGCCGATAAATAATAGATAATATTATCGATATACTTTTGGAAAATATTACCAGACATACTGAACCTGGGATATAACATGTATCTAATCATAATGTAATATTTTATTAGTCGCTGGTTAATTACAATACAAATTGTTTTTAAAATTAAGCATTTATTTCTTTCGTTCAAATCAGCTTTATTTCAAATATCTACATATGGAATCATTTAAGATTGGAAAAAAATGGAGTCGAAATGGTAGTAATAAAAAAAGTACAATTTTATTGCCTTATTTATCTCTGATTGTAATACAATATCAAATACTCCTTTCAATTATAGGGCTCAACTTTATTAAAAGTGCCTTTACTTCTTCATTTTTTGACACGCACAGCATTATGGTTGGGATCCTTTATGGTTACAATTCCGGTTAGATGGACAAAAGTGCCCTTTCCAGGGTGAATAGCGTACCTACTTTAAAAAAAATTCAATTTTGTATTAGTTCTTGACAACACTCTCACAAGATGCACAACACATTTTCCTTTGTCATTTTATATCTTCCATTAATAGCTTGCGGAGAAAAAGATGCTATTCGGTTTTTTTCTGATATATAGTAGACTAGGATCTGCGCAGCCCTAGTCGTAATTATTGCTAATTTCGAGATCAGTGGTTGAAGTTGGAAGAGTTCCTGAGCTGTAGCTGATACATACATTTTACCAAAAGGGAGTGAATTTCTTATTTCCTTGGGTTTTACTCAAATCTTCCTTACCAATCCAATGCCGACATCCAGCTCGACCACGGTTGCTTGTGACGTATCTACAATTCAAATTGAAAGAATCAGACCGCGACCCATATACAATTACAGTTTGTCGACTTTTCGTCTAGACTAGTTTATTTTTGTTGCAAAATAAAATGTTGTATATATATATTAATAAGTACCATGAAACATTTGAAACTGTTTGTCAATTGACTTGAACACTGAACTATCTGAACATTGTGTCTAGTATACGTACCTACCTACGCTTAAAATAGATTATTTTACTAATATGATGTGCTAAATTCGACATCGGAAAAGAAAATAAGATTCGATAAACCACTATCGCCTATGCAACTAATGGATAGATAAAAATAGATCACTTACGAAGTTTCGAAGGAGAATATAATGACACTTTTTTGTTTTCATATAAAGGGGAAGCTAACCCGTCCATCCTTCTCTGTATTTAAAAATCCCATCTGCATGTTGGATGTATGTACCTAATACTGTCCGCGAATAAATGTATACTACGCGTTCACTAATTATATACCCAAGCATGACACCAAATATCTGTTTTACAAACTTTATCAAATTCGTTAAAGCAAGAAAACTCAAACAACTTTTCAGAATGAATTCTGATCTGATAAACGTAGTAACTAGATTCCATAAACAAGAAAAAAAAGTAGAAACGACAATGTTGGGACTTTTACTAGTGTAGACGCGAGTGTAGATCTCAAACGAAATATTTTGGATCATCGGTTTATTTGCGAACAATGCTTGTTTTGGTCCCTCCACCCAGTTAGTTGACGTATCTAATTGTTAAACCCTGTATCTGTATAACAAGTGGAAAATTCCACAGATCAAATGCCTATAGACAACCGCGACAAAATAACGGACGGTTCCGCGTCTTGAGTTGGTGTTGTATATTGGCGATATGTATCTAAAAATTACACACGCCCCTAGTGTTATTATATCAGGTGGAATCCTCGTCTACCTTATTTCAAAAAAAGGTCAAATTTAAAAGAATGTTCTAAATATAACACTAGGTACAATTTGTGACATTTGCAAAGCCCGACCACGGAAGAGAATCTGGCCAACAACTTTGGTTTAATTATAGATGTGTTAACAACAATAGATGGTTCTAGAAGTCGGCGCCAAATAGCAATATGAAAGAAATTGTGAAGGTATAAACACATATAAGTAAAAAAATCAAATACGTATACAGAATTTAAGTGTAAGGAATTTAAACGGTCTTCTTCATCTATAAAATGAACGACAAGTTAAAAGTTATTTTGAGAAGGCCACAACTTGGGATACGTCACCACGTCATATACCTCCAAAAATCTGTCCAATTCTAAACACGAAAACATTATTTCTGAAAGGATAACCTTTTAATGTGAATAAATTCCGCAAATTATAACTTATAACCCAATTTAAAAGTAAAAGTTTCACTAATATGTAAGTGGAAGAGTGCTGAGACATTTATAAACTACGTTTTCGTCGCGTCAGAACAGTGCAATAACCCTCAGTATACGTACAAAGATTTTCAGCCACTTAAAAAATTTTATTGTTTTGTCTAGATAGTTTAAGTTTTCAAACTTGCATAAATTTTGAGTTGGACTAGCACTGAACAAAAAATAAACACATCTCTAGGGTTAAGTAACCGAGCTGACTTTAGCCATACCATCATCTATTTACGAATAATGATTTTGAAAATAAACAGAAAAAAAACTATTGAATTAACTTAGTGATTGAGAAGTGCAGGTTTTCATTTTTAAACTGAAACGACAGAAATATGATGGAAACGTTCCTACGAGAATTCAGTAAATTTCGTTTATAATTTTAAGTATAATTATTTTAAATTACGTTTTATTAATACTGAAAAAGAAATACCTATAATATCAACCAAATCGACCAAAAAGGCTTATCTCAGTTTAAAATTAATTTTTAATAATCGCCACCTCCTTAATCGGGCCACAAAAATTATACTTTGTGAGGCGTTAGTACTGTCACAATATAATTATTGTGATAGTGTCTATGGACCTTGTTTGGACGTTTCCGATAGAACCAAGATTCAGAAAATGCAAAATTCATGCCTGCGACTCATTTATGGTATTAGAAAGCATGAACACATCTCCCATAAGTTTAATGAATTAAACTGGCTGAATATGGATAATCGGAGATTTGTTCATGCTGCAGTATTATACCACAAAATAATTAATGCAAAAGTTCCTTTGTATCTATATGAAAAGATTAGATTCAGTACTAATCCCAGATTGATTCATTTAATCACACCCCCTTATCACAAAACGGCTCTGTTTGAAAGATCATTTACGTACCAAGTGGCTAACCTATACAACTCGCTTCCTGACACTTGTAAAAAACTTAGCACATCTCAATTTAAAAAATACGTCCGCAAAATCGTACTTGACCGGCAGCGGCAATAACATCTTTTTACTGTGTTATTCCATATTACCATGAACCAATGTATTATACATCATATAGTTAGTAGTTATCACAAATTAATTCTTTTTTTAAATTTTTGTCTGTTAGTCCATTGCACAACATTATTAATATGTTAAATATAGTTATGAGTGGGTAGTGTGGAAGAGCAGATCAGGCGTATCCTCGTCTGTATCTGAACATCGCCCAATTTAGTTGCCCTCTACTTTTTATACTATAATTGTGTTAATTTTTTAATTTTTTGTTTTTTTGTTTTAGTTGACGGGTTAACTAAATAAAACCATTATTATTATTATTATTATTATTATTAATAAAGAATGGGCGTGAAAATCATTTTGGTATTACGTCTGTCTGTATAATATGTATTATGTATACATATGTTTATATACCTACATAATAATAAATAAAAAAGCGACCTTTGCAGTTTCAGGTTTTAGTTTGTTGTTGATGTTGCTATGAATTGAGTGTAACAAAGAGAGAAAATCGCCTAATACACAAAACACAAAAATTGAGAATAAAAAACATTATTACCTAAAAAATAAGACTTTTCTCGCTATTTTCTAATGTTTACGAGAAAAAGTGGCTTTTTTAACGACAAACATAGAAAATTGTAAAAAAAATGGATAACTTGTTAAGAAATATTCTCCGTCCAAAATCTATGCGTTCATTTTAGGTGACGTCTGTGAATGAAGAACGTACATTTTACATAACATTCTTGTAAGCATTTAGAACCACGGTTTTGCCTATTTTTCGGGCTTATTCGATTTTGCAATCTGTTTGTATATTTATTTCCTTTTAACTGGAAGATTGAAGATTGCTTGTTTAAATAATTCTTCATTATAAACAAAAGTATAACGAGAATGAAATATTAAGTAAAGCAAAACTGTTACAATAAGTGCATACTCTTCAAATTGATGGGTCCTCTCGCTGTCTCTTGTGGTCATTCCTTGATAACGTTAAAATTTTTTCTGGTGGTCAGATTACTTACAGATTTTTTTTGAAGGATTTTACAGACCAAAATTTATTAGAGTTTGTCTCCTGCAGATCTGTGACAATTTCTGTCGTTGCTAAATTTTAAAGGCAACGTAATATTCCTAGCGTTAGATACTCTTATAATCGACAAAAATAACCACAATATAATAGAATGAAAAAATTACTATGCATCAATCCGCAAATTTAACATCTACACTTCTCCAGAATGAAGTCAGTATTTCGGACCAACTTGGTAAACTAGAGTCCAGGACAGAAGATATGGACGAAGATATACAAAACGCACGTTAGAGCACACCCATTCTTCCTTGGTGACCACTTGACCACTAGCGCCACCATCGGTATTGTGCTTTTCGTATGGTTCACGCTCAATTTCGCGTCGGAAAAATCCCAACGCTCAATTTCTCGCCGACTACCGTAGTAATAAAAAATCCGATACAACTGAATACCGAACGATCCTCGAGATCTTCGCACATACATCATTTTTACAACACACCTTAAGGGATTGATTCTGTCCCACCGGATCAGCATAGCTTGTAAAACAAATTTTTGACTCGGCATTAGTTTTACTTTTATTCGAGGTGCATACATACAAATTTCATGTAATTTGGCTCATAACTAACAGAGATGTCAAAAAATCGGATTACGCATGCGCAAAACAATTTTTTTTATTGGCATCAGTTTTACTTTTATTTGAGGTGGCCACATAAAGAATTTCATTTAAATATCTTAACAAATAGAAAATTTGAAATTGCGCATGCGCAAACCAAATTTTTTTATCGTCATCAGTTTTACTTTTTGAGGTGCCTACGTACAAAATTTCATCCAATTCGGTTCATAACTAAAGGAGACAGACGGACGGACAGACAGCCAGGCGGACAGACAGACGGACAGACAGCAATACAATTGTTTTTTGTACCTAATTTGCGGGTTTTTTTTATTTTGTGCTTCTTAATAAAATTATCCATATGTTCCTTTAGCACTGTTCTGTCATATGCGTCGATTGTAATTCCATTTACTACTACATTATTTTTAGCGCATTTAGTGCGCTATTGCAGCCACTTTCTCTGCCCGCCCGCCTGTCCGAGGCCTTAACTACTTCTAGAGTTTTCAAGATACTTAGTTCCTTCTTTTTGCATTTGGTAGCGTATAGCTCTGGCACATGAGCCAAGGAAAATCTTGACAATTCACTACGTATGCTATAATAGCACTTGATAATTCAATTATTGCATTTTCGAAATCTACATGAAAATCTATGTGGTTTGGTACCACATTTGCCTATACCCAGCACCACACGCACCAAGCTTTTGAGCTTGAATGTCAAAAAGTCTTCTGAAACCAACAATACCGACTTGATGCTACATGAGAATGATTTAAATTTTGGTCTTTTCATTTATTAACAAGCGATAGAAGTAAAGGAATTTAAGTAGGTATTCTAAATCTTCAGTTCAAAAGCGAAAAATAATTGAACCCCTTTTACATGAATTAGAAAAGCGTATTCCACTTGTTCACACTGAATGTCTTGTTTTTTTAATGTATTTTAAAGGTGACACTTTGTTAGTTGGTCGAAAATATCATTTATTTCGGTACAGATTTATAGGTTGAAAAATAATGTATCATAACTTATAGAAATTCCTAAATTGTTTAAAATGCGTATGACATCCTGTTGTTCCAGACCGAAACGGCCATGATAAAGTACTTAAATAATCACAGAAGTGAAATTGATTTTTAGAGATGTGCTTTGTAAGTAAGCCAGGTCTCTATATTCAACAGTGCTTTTTATGCTTTCCATAACCGACACCCCGTCTATTTACCAAGCAGTTATTGAACGCTGATGTGAATTGAAGGTAATTGATTATTATTCGTCAAGATTTGGAATGACTAACGAGCATCAATTAGTCACAAAACATAAGTATTACGTAGCTTCTACACCTTTCTAATTTTGTACACTATGTGGGATTTCGTTTTTTTATTGTCACGTACAGAAAGCTTGCTGGTTAGTTTCCTAACATGAAAAGTGCTTAGCAGGTGAAAAGGTTGTCAAATATTCATTAGATAAGTGTCGTTAGGGTTGATGATTTTTGTGTTTACTCACCCTATAAATTGATTGAATGTATTGGGTTTTTCAAGCGGTTATTTTTTAGTCTGTTTGAACTTTACTCATTTCGATAAATATTGTGCATTTTTCGGTTTGCCTTCCGCTTGGTCAGTCTCCCAGATGCTGAAACGTGAGTAGTAGGTGCCCACGTTGAGGTCATCAAAAAA